GGGGGTCGCGGCCCGCGGGGGGCTGCAGCCTGCGGGGGGCCGCGGCCTGGCATCGCTCAGCGGGCAGCCTCCGGTGCTTTCGCTCAGCGGCATCTTTTTTTAAATATAGTTTGGTTTTGCATCATTTTGTGCCTTTTCCATCTTCTCAGCAGTGTTTTGGTTCCCGTATGCTACTAGCTCTGCGCCTAACTTTTCATGTCTGATTTTATTATAAATCACTTTATAGGAAAAAATCATTCCCGTGCAGACTGTAGAAATTCCGTGAACCTAGTTAATTCATGAATTACTTGGGCGCTTATATTTGTAAATGTAGATCCTTGAGGGTTTTTTATCAGACGACCGACGTCCCCACGGGTAGAGATGGTTTTAGTTCTCCCTTCCAGCACACAAGACCGTTGTTTCTTTTTCTCCGGGCTCACCGGCTTGGCCTCCAGTGTGGGGTGGAGATGGCCGCGGGGCGCGGGGACGCCCGGTCGGGGCAGCCCCACTGCCCTGACTGTGGTGGTCACTTGAAGTTTTCCGAGATGCGTCGTCTCAGAGCAGGGATTTCTCATCTACTCCCAGTTCTCTGTAATCCTCTGTCCAAGGCAAAGAGGAAGGACTCTTCGCACCTCAGCCTGGGAGCCAGCGTGACCCTGGCCACACAGCCAGTTAAAGGCACTGCGAGAGGAGGAGCGGCCCTGTGGGCCTGACAAGCGAAGCCTCGGCAAGTGGGAGTGAGTGGGGCTCAGTAGCAGGCCAGAAGGCCACAGCCCTGGCTGGGTGGGGTCCGTTCCCGGGGTGCGGGACGTCCTGCCCACGCGGCTGCTCCCAGTGCCACGCCGCCGTCCACAGGACACACGGCCTCGATCCATTCCGAAAAGGCACCTGAGCAAGCTCCACAGGCCGAGTGTGACAAACACTCAGCAGCCTGGGAATACAGGACGTCACCTCAGCAGGGTGAGCGTAATGTACGTCAGAGCCACGGCAACATCAAGTTCAACGGTGAAGACTGGAAGTTTTTCCTCCCAGAGCCGGCACAAGCGAAGGGGGCCCCGCTTACCGCTCTTATTCGCCACGGTACTGGGAGTTCTAGCAAAGCTGTTAGATATCAAAGGAAAAGACGCCCAATTGGAAAGGAAGCTCTAAAATAATATGTTTGCAGATATAATCTGATATATAGAATCCTAAAGATTCCACAGAG